TACAGAAAAATGAGCCCACTTATGCTAGACTGTGACACACGCAGCTAGGGAGGATGCTTTCCAAGAGGAGCAAAGTGAACCAGCTCACCCTGATGAGGACAGGTTGTTGGAGGAAGCAAAGGTATTTTGGATGCTTGAGTTCTTTCAGCACTCATGTGTCTCACTTGAGATTATTCTTAACACCCTTTACCATTAATGAAGTAACAGGAACTAGAGATTTCTTGAGTCCCTGTGGTACATTTTTGTCACAGGATGACACAAATGACTGAGAGTAACCCAAATGAATACTGCACAGATCAAAAAGTTCACTGTCACATTAGAGTATAACCCACAATTACAGCACATCCCAGAACCAAGAAAATCTGAACACTCCCCCACCACACACACCCCTGACCCTGTTGTCCTCTTCTGATGTGCTTCTGTTCTGCAGCAGAGCCTCACTGTAGGCTGTGCACATCTTATTTTGGTGACCTTGCCTAACCTACACCTCCACACAACCTTTTCAGGACTCTGTGGAGTAACACAACTCCTCAGTTTGTATTTTTGACTATTACTGGAAAATGCTCTCTGGGAGTACAGCCTAAGTACTGATCACGAATATTGCTGAGCTTCAGAAAATGCCTGATGTAGTCCAGGAGAGGTAGGAATGATTTTCTGTAAAGCTTAGAGACACATCCTTCAGAAAAAGAAAAAAAAAAAAAAAATATATATATATATATGTGTGTGTGTGTGTGTGTTGTTCTTCATCTAAATGTCTTGGATCCCCATTAGGCCACAGGTTAACTTGCCACTCTTGAAAAGTCTTTTAAAAGGAAATTCTCCATCCTGCATTTGCACGAGTAAGGGGTTGCTCCATGCTATCAAATTTGCTGGCCATTTCAGTCTGACTGCAAAACTTGAAATGACAGTGCAAAGAAGGTGCATTGACCTAATTTTGCAGAAAAATGGAAAAATGCAAAAAAATGTTAAGGTTTCTTCAGATTACTTTTGCATTTACTTGTGTCAGTGTGCAAAAGGGGAAGGGGAAAAAGTGGAAATGGAGGGCATGTGTTCAACAAGCCAGGAAGCTCCCCTGTGACTGCAGGGATGTTTTTTTCCAATCCATGCTGCAGTCCCTGCAGATGCCCATTCTCTGACCTCACTCTTCTCTGGGTATCACAGAGGTGATGCTGGGGAGCTGCTCTGGAGGGTTGGCAGGGTGGGAGCATAGGCAGTGAGAAGGGATGAAATAACTTTGCATTTCTTGTTATTCTGCAGTCTTGAGGGTACTCCTATTTTCCTGCAGTGAACTGGTAATGGAAATTAAATGACTGTGCCAGCTACTGGGGGAAGAGCTGTGGGGGTAACCACTGCAGTGCAAGGAAGATTTTTGTCTGCATGTCAGTAGTGCAGAATCCTCTGTTGCATCACTTCTGGAGGAAGCAAGCCATGAAATCCTACAGTAGTGTACAGACACCAATATGTACACCACTGTGGGGATGCAGAACTTGTTTCCATCTCCTGTGCTTCCAACAAGGTGCAATCTAGGGGGCTCATGCTGCAAAGTTTCAGGGGTGAGAAATTGTTGATGCTGTCCTTCTGCCCACCACCCTTTGTCTTTAACCTTAATATCTGTGAATCCTGTTCTTGGGCACATACAAAGAAAAAAGCCTGGCAGCCAGGAGGGCCAACCGTGTCCTGGGGTGCATCAAGCACGGCATCGCTAGTAGGTCGAGGGAGGTGATTGTCCCGCTCTACTCTGCGCTGGTGCGGCCTCACCTCGAGTACTGTGCGCAGTTCTGGGCACCACAGTATAAAAAGGACATGAAACTGTTGGAGAGTGTCCAGAGGAGGGCTACGAAGATGGTGAAAGGCCTGGAGGGGAAGACGTACGAGGAACGGCTGAGGTCACTGGGCCTGTTCAGCCTGGAGAAGAGGAGGCTGAGGGGAGACCTCATCGCAGTCTACAACTTCCTCGTAAGGGGGTGTCGAGAGGCAGGAGACCTTTTCTCCATTAACACCAGCGACAGGACCCGCGGGAACGGGGTTAAGCTGAGGCAGGGGAAGTTTAGGCTTGACATCAGGAGGAAGTTCTTCACAGAGAGAGTGATTGCACACTGGAACAGGCTCCCCAGGGAAGTGGTCACTGCACCGAGCCTGACTGAATTTAAGAAGAGATTGGACTGTGCGCTTAGTCACATGGTCTGAACTTTTGGGTAGACCTGTGCGGTGTCAAGAGTTGGACTTGATGATCCTTAAGGGTCCCTTCCAACTCAGGATATTCTATGATTCTATGATTCTATGACCATGAGTGGTGAGGCACCTGAATGGCAGGAGCTGCACTGCAGGAGTGACATCAAGGAATCAGTTAAACGTTTTCCTTTATTCACAGTCTTTGCTTTATGATTTGTGGAATGTGTCATGGCCCACATGAAAGAACATTTGGTTTTTGCACATGCAGTGTTACCAGACTGTTCTTGGAAAAAAAAAAAAAAAAAAAAAAAAAAAAAAAGTATCTTGCAGATTGCAAATACTAACACACATTAAAATAATAAACCCTATCTGAAAAAGATCAGTGGCTGAACAGAATTGTCTTTTGTGTTTTGTTGGTTCTTCTCCAGGAATTAACCCCAGTATGCGTGGGGATACTGCAAGGGTAGGCTCTTATTGTGAATTAAATTGCTAGAAAAAAAAGATAATAAGATAATCTGCTCTCAGCCTCTTTTTCACAGGGAGAAGGGGAAGAGGGAGGGAGAGAGAGGAGGTAGAGAAGAGGTAGCTGGAGGGATAGTCAGTTGTGTAAAACTGCTTGGGATAGAAGAAAAAAGCATAGGCTGAAAGAATCAGTGACAGGACAAGGAAGTTCCTCAGGTTCTGGGATTGTGCAATTACACTGCATACAGTATTGTTGCGAAGCACGGACGAAAGCACGACAGACACCAGCAGAGTCAGATCATGCTTCACCATCTTTATTGCCCAAATAGCCCAACTTTTATAGTGAATTTTACAGGGGTGGACAGTGTTTCACACAAGATTATTGGTCAAAAGCACTCAGACAAACCGTTAAGAAAATAACACCACCTTTTGATTAGAAGTTAGGAAAACAACCCCCTTTGTGCTTAACGGTCACGTAGGCCTAGTCCTTGAGGCCAGCTGCTGATAACAATATTTTCTGAGTTCCTTAATTGGGTGATGTGGGAGTTATTGCCGTGGGAGCTTCTCATAGTTACTCTGGCAGCTTGGTTTGCTCAGCTACAGCAGGCCCTGAGATTTCTAAGGCCAACCCCTGGTTGCTTATGACCACGTCCTGTATGCCAATTCCCAACACAGTATCTTTATTATAAAACTCCAAATAGGGTCATACCTTGAAGGGAGAAATAGACCAGGGCCACAAACTTCAGAACATTGCATTTATCTATCAATGTTTGTGTGTGTGTATATATACATATTCGTATATACATACATATTCACACACACACACATATTTAATATATATATATATACATATATATGTGATTATATTTTATATGTACACATGTATATGTATATGCATGGTTAACCATTCACATATATATCATTCATTTGCAGTTACCAAGCTCAAACAGCAGAAGGGAATGTCTCAAGAAGCTCATATGAGTGCATCACTTGTTTAAAGTGTTCAGAAAACCCGTCTGGGTTTTAGGCAACTCTGAAGTGTCTGGCCACTCACACCAGTCTGTGCCATCTGGTTTAGATACCACCTGAGTTACAGGCTCTTGGTGTATTTCCCCATTTGTCTTCTCTCCATCCTGTTGCAGGCTTTTAGCAGAACAACCACCCCTCAGCTCATGGGTCAGGGCTGTGCTGAGAGCAACCACCTCCTTGGACACCTCCAGCACATCTCCAGGAAGTTTTTACATATGACCTTTACCAATCTCTCAGCTTACATTCGGTGTTTTCCACTCTTCGGTCTCTTTTTCCTAGTAACTATTTCTCCACTCATACCCAGGGCATTCATTCATTTCCATCAGGGTTTTTTTCTTAAGACTCCCACAGTGTCATTTCTCAGCTGTGACTTTTAAACCCTTCCAGCCCAGTATCTGCAGGTCCTGGTAGCAAAGAACTTAGGCAGATAGGGAGGCAGGGTCATACCTAGATATTCTTCCATCTTCATGTTAACAAAACCCAGGCATAAAGTTAATTTATTTGTTGCTTGACTAACTGATTGTTTACTAAGCTCTTTCTGGGCTGGGAATGTTGTTTAGATATCAGGTAGAAGCCAGACCATGGAGTGATTCTTTAAATGTGGGGACCGTTTCCCTCCCAAAAGCATGTTCCCCCTCCCGTGTTGAGTCCAGTCCCCACCGACAGAGAAAATCCACTCTGTTTTAATTCCCTGTGCCATTACCGTTGTCTATGCGCATAATTAATGTGCAAACCACTTTCCTTGGAGGGGAGTTAGTTGTTTTAATGGACACATCTGGCATCTTTCCTACACACAGACAATGCAGCCAGCTCTGAGAGCAGTCCAGGACTAACTGCCTCCCCCAGGGGAGCAGCTCACTCAGAAGCCATGAAGAATTAAATAAGCAATCCAGAAAAAAGTATTACGCCTTTGTTTTGTTAACATCACAAGTATTTAGGTGTAACCTTGACACCCTGTCTGCAAAGACAGACTGCCTCCTCCTTGTACTTTGATGCACAGTTTCATGATTTTATTAGAGATATTTGAGGACCATGCATCCTGTGCTGGAGGCGCTGGGTGCACCTTTCTGTACTACTAAGGCAGTGATGAGTCTGCTGGCAAAATTGGCCTCCTTTTCACAAAGAAGGTAGAGAAGTATTTCAGAAGAATTGCATCCATGCAGGTATGAGGAGGAATGGGCTTAAGTTGCGCCAGGGGAGTTTTAGGTTAGATGTTAGGAAGAACTTCTTTACTGAAAGGGTTGTTAGGCACTGGAACAGGCTGCCCAGGGAAGTGGTGGAGTCACCATCCCTGGAAGTCTTTAAAAGACGTTTAGATGTAGAGCTTAGGGATATGGTTTAGTGGGGACTGTTGGTGTTAGGTCAGAGGTTGGACTAGATGATCTTGAGGTCTCTTCCAACCTAGAAATTCTGTGATTCTGTGATTCTGTGATCTGCTCAGAATGGTATTACAGCATATCATGGAGCAAGGTGCACTGCAGCTTGCTCTAGGATTGCGGGATTTCCTAGTCACAATTTGGTAATGGGCCACTGCACCTAAACCTCCTACACTAAGGCAACAAGAAGACTTATTAACTGAATCACCGGGAGGACTGCTCAACTTCAAGTCATGCATGAAGTATGGGAGCTTTTGTCTTGCAGCTCTACAAGACACTACCTACAAAAGATGACTGCGAGGACCCCATGTGCACAGAGGACTGCCTGTCCAGTTTGTGCCTGTGGAACACACTGTAGTTGTTGCAGGTCAAGAGAAAACGTGCATATTTGCCAAAAGCCTCGCAGAGATACTTCTTGAACTTCTCGCCCACAAAGGCGTAGATGATGGGGTTGAGGCAGCAGTGGACGAAGGAGAGCGCCTCAGCCAGCTCCAGGGCTAGGTCGAGCTTTTGGCTTGCCTGGCAGTCGTCGATGATGTGCATGCTCCTCATGGAGTCCAGGAAGAGCACGACATTGACGGGGGTCCAGAAAAGGAAGAACACCGTGACGACAATGAAAACCAGCTTCATTGCTTTATACTTGTTGCGAGTGTGACACCGTTGCAGGTTTTTCAAGATGTTGTGATAGCAGAAAATGAGGATGCCCACCGGGATCAGCCACCCCAGGACATTGACTTCAAAATTGCTGAAAATCTTCCAGCTGTTGTCACTACCAGGATAGTGAGGCAGGCACACGGTCCTGTTGCTGTCATCCATTTCCTGGAAGAAAATGAGGTCTGGCGCTGATGCTAAAATGGCGACTGCCCAAAGGGCCAGGCTTGCGATGACCCCGTGGGCGGACGTGCGCACCCGCAGAGCATACACAGACCGCACAATGGCCAAGTACCTGTCGATGCTCATGATGGTTATGAAGAAGGAGCTGCTGTAGAAACCAATGAAGTAAGCTGAGCTGACAATTTTACACATGGCATTGCCAAAAGTCCACTGGCTCACCAGGGAGTACTGAACCAAGAAGGGGAGAGAGAAGACAAAGAGGAGGTCAGAGATGGCAAGGTTCAGCAGATAGATGTCAGTCATGGCCCTGACTTTCTTGAAGGCCAATAGGACCCAAACGACCAAAGCATTTCCCACAAGGCCGGTAACAAACAACACAGTGTACAGCACTGGAAAAAACATAGATGTAAAGTATTTACTATGTTCTGTGGTGCAAGTGGAAGCCATTTCAGGATAGTAGTAGTCCTCATAATAATTTGAAGAGGAATTTGGTGCTGGTGACATGGCATCTGTTGTCCTGTGAAATGAGTTGTAGATATTATACAATGGAGAGGAGTTAAGAGTTGTTGAAAGGTAATCCATAGTGAGAGGAACCTATTCGGAATAAATAACTTAATCAGTTAATAAGCCTAAAAACTGTCTAATGTTAGTCTGAACTAAGCTTTTGCAAGAGGATATAATTTAGATACACAGAGATAAGGCCAGGCAAAAAAAGTACAATAGCAGCAAGCAAAAGCAGCTCACTGCTGCTTCCAGTGCCATACTGTCACCCCATATAGGGGACTACATCATGAGCTGCATGTACAGAAGGAAACCAACCAAACTTTCTGGCAGCTGACAGTCTCAGGATAATTCTTTTCTACGCATTCTTTCACATTCACATAAACTTCCTATTCTGAAAATCATAGCATTGCTTTTCCTGCTTCCATGAAAACAAGGATGGAGAAATATCTGGAAAAGAAGTTCCTCTCTCCTGCACATGCTTTGCAGCTGCAGAAAGCTAGAGCTGTATGATTGCCCTGACCGAAAGCCCCTGTGGAGTTAGTGCACATCCACAGCATGCAGCTGGAACAAACCACTGTGTCCAAGTCAGAGGATGAAAAGAGGAAGGAACATATGTGGCCAGTCCTGCCCTGCAGGGGTGAGGCTCTTGCACCAGAGGGGCAAGGGCAGAAATGCTGTGGTAAGCCGGGGCGGGGAGGGGGTACCAGCATCCCCTCACAGCTCCTTGGGGGTGCCCAGCCCTATGCCTGCCCCATGCCACTGAGCAGGTGGTGTGAGAGACCCAGGAAGCATCACCAAACCAGCAACCAAATGGGCAAAGCCAGGGTGCTGAGAGCCCCAGTAGAGGTTTTGGGGCTCAATTCTGTATTTTGTTAAGGCCTTTGCATGGCTAATGGGGATGGATGGGTGCCGATGGCTTCAAAGCCCCCACAGCCACAACTACCATGGCCAGCCCAGTGCAGCAAGAGCGGTGAGGGCACATCCCCAGCACAGGGAACCCCCTGGACACTCCTAGGGCCAGCCCTGCCCCAGGGGACAGTCAGCCCTGACACATGCAACCTGTTCAGTGGGAGATGCTTTCACACACGCAGCTTTCTGGGAACTGTGACCACACCCTCACTGTCCCCACCAGCATGGCCTCTCCCAGTAGCAAAGCCCCACACATCCCAGTCACAAACCTGGGCCCCTCAGGTGTGCCCCAGGGCTCAGCTCGCAGGGCAGCAGCCAGGGAGCAACTCACCAGCAAGTCCTCCAGGTCTCCGCCGGACAGCAGGCTCCCCAGGCTGTCACCTGCAGTCTCTGTGTAGGAAGAAATACCAAAATCAATGCCTCTGTAGATTATAGACACCTGAGACTTGAATATACACACTTATGTATACTTGAGTATACACACTTATGTTTCAATGCCTAGTCACTGACAAGGTCTTCACTCTAACAGCAGACAGTCGAAAATTGCCTCTTCCTTTATTCTTTACCTGTGTATTGCAATAAAGACCCATGCTGACCACAAGCCAATGAGGTTGGTTTCTTTAGATGATTGTCATACAAAACCAGCAACCTCAGCTTCAGCTTGAAACAGTGCTTTAGTCAGCAGAGGTAGAAACGTCATTGGAAGAGATCTGCAATTTTCCCCACACGTCTGCAAGTTGCCCATGTCTCTCAGCAGGTGCCCCTTTCTCAGTGGTAGCTCCAAGTCACCAGGAAAGAGGAAAAGAGGAAGACATGCTGCTGCTCCTGGATTTGTGGAGGAGATGTACAGCCCTGTGTTTTGCAATTATTATTGCAAATGATTTCAATTTTCTTAGGAGGTATCAACCCCAAAGGAAAGTTCAGTCTGAGGGGTCACATCATTTGCCCTTGAGACACGTATCTAGTGGAATAGCTCCCAGACAGTATGGGAAAGTCTCAGAAACACTCCTTTCTGGACACCTTCGCCAGCCAGAAGTGCTGCTTTGCCTCCTTTTTGCTGTGATAATATCCATGTATGTCCAGAGATCAGAACTGGTAAAAACATGAGAAAAATAAAAGAAATTTTAATGAGAGGCATTTATTTGTGTGACACACCTCTCTTGGCTGAAAGATGCTCCTGCACAGGAATGTATCTTCATGACCACAGAAAACTCAGAATACCCCAGTAACTGGGTCTTGCCCAGGATAATCCTGTGTTATTTTCATCCCTTTGAAAGTGCTGCTTTAGTCTACCAGTAGTGAAACACAATGAAATTACTAATTATTCTGGGATGGTCGCCTTCCAAACAAGGACATAGGTAAAGCAGAGATGTTTAATGCCTTTGTCACCTTTGTCTTGAACACCGCTGATAGGCTTCAGGACCCAGAGCTCCATGAGATAGAGGACTGTGACAGTGGAAATGATAAACTCTGAACAGACCTTGAACATGTGCGGGATTTGCTGCTCCACCTGGATCCATACAAGTCCATGGGTCCGGATGGGATCCATCCCAGGGTGCTTGGAGAGCTGGCTGGAGTCATCGTGGGACCTCTCTCAATTATTTTTCAATGACCTTGAGAATCTGGAGAGGTGCCAGTAGACTGGAAGCTGGCAAATGTGCCAATTTTCAAGAAGGGTAAGAAAGAAGACCCTGGCAATTACAGGCCTGTCAGTCTCACGTCAGTGCCTGGTAAAATTATGGAGAAGGTGATTCTTGAAGTTATTGAGGCGCACCTGGGGGACAATGCAGTCATTGGTCCCAGCCAACATGGGTTCATGAGGGGTAGGTCCTGCCTAACAAATTTGATTTCCTTCTATGACAAGATCACCCATCTAGTTGACCAAGGGAAACCAGCTGATGTGACCTTTTTGGACTTCAGCAAGGCTTTTGACATGGTTTCCCATAGGATCCTGCTGGACAAAATGTCCAGCATACAACTTAACAAAATCATCATACAATGGGTGAGCAATTGGCTGACGGGCAGGGCTCAAAGGGTTGTGGTTAATGGGGCCACATCTGGCTGGTGGATGGTCACTAGTAGGGTACCTCAAGGCTCCATTTTAGGGCCAGTCCTCTTCAATGTCTTTATCAATGATTTGGATGTAGGACTGGAAGGTGATTTGAGCAAATTTGCCGACAACACCAAACTAGGAGGAGTTGTGGACTCTGATGAGGGTGGAAAGGCCTTGCAGAGAGACCGGGACGGATTGGAATCCTGGGCAATCACCAGCCTCATGAAGTTTAACAAGAGCAAGTGCCGGGTCCTGCACCTGGGACAGGGCAACCCTGGCTATACGTATAGACTGGGCAATGAGACGCTGGAGAGCAGCCCTGCAGAGAGGGATCTGGGGGTTGTGGTTGACAGCAAGTTGAATATGAGCCAGCAGTGTGGCCTGGCAGCCAGGAGGGCCAACTGTATCCTGGGGTGCATCAAGCACGGCATCGCTAGTAGGTCGAGGGAGGTGATTGTCCCGCTCTACTCTGCGCTGGTGCGGCCTCACCTCGAGTACTGTGCGCAGTTCTGGGCACCACAGTATAAAAAGGACATGAAACTGTTGGAGAGTGTCCAGAGGAGGGCTATGAAGATGGTGAAAGGCCTGGAGGGGAAGACGTATGAGGAGCGGCTGAGGGCACTGGGCCTGTTCAGCCTGGAGAAGAGGAGGCTGAGGGGGGACCTCATTGCTGTATACAACTTCCTCATGATGGGGAGTGGAGAGGCAGGTGACCTATTCTCTGTAAACACCAGTGATAGGACCTGCGGGAATGGTGTTAAACTGAGGCAGGAGACTTTCAGGCCGGTTATGAGGAAGAGGTTCTTCACTGAGAGAGTTGTCACACACTGGAACAGGCTCCCCAGTGAGATAGTCACAGCACCAAGCCTGTCAGAGTTTAAGAAGTGTTAGGACTGTGCACTTAGTCATATGGTCTGAATTTTTGGGTAGAACAGTGTGGTGCTAGGAGTTGGACTAGATGATCCTTATGGGTCCCTTCCAACTTGGGATATTCTAAGATTCTATGATTCTATGAGATCCAGAATAGATCACAACAGAAAAATAAATAAATAAATAAAAAGGAAAAAAAAAAAAGTGACTTGAACTATTCTGTCCAAATGTAAAAAAAAAAAAAAAAAAAAAAGTTTGGGAAATAGAAGGTCTATTCTAAAATATCCTTGGTCTGAAGAAGTCCATTGTAACTGTGAAATGCAGACTGGCACACATTTTTTTGTTAACATTCATATCAGAGCTATTCCTGGACATATGCTTTGCAGTTTGGCCAAAAAATGCTGGCCACAGCAAAGTTGTGATGAACCATGCCAGTTCTGATACACAACTTTTTACGTGACTTACTTTTTGCATAAATCTATGTTTCTGTTCACTCAGCTATAATGCCAAAATGTACAGAGCTGCGTCACAGAAATCCCCATTCAGAGTAATGGTGTCATATTTTGGGTTCCAACAGACTCTGCTGACTCATGCATCTGCTGAGGTGTTGTCTGTAGCCAACACCACTCTTATCTCAGAGCTGGCAGGACTTGCTGCCTGGGTACAATGTGCTTTTTGGCTATTTGATGCAGTCAGAGAGTGCTACTGTAACTCTGGCATGAACAGATGCATCAGACCCCATGCAGGACAAGACACCTCATTAAACGCTATTTTTCCTCACCATGCCCTGACATCCAGACACACTTCCCACTGACATTAATATGCAGACATCACAAAGACGTTTATTCACACACCTTTTCTTCAGCTGGCACTCTCCAAGGATGCTCAGTGTCTCTGTAATCCTCCATCCATATGCTTTGGTTTGCAGAAGGTAAAACATGAGTTTTGAAAGAAAAGGGCACTCAGGCACCACAACCAGCTGAGGTCTTGATGTCACACCTGCTACTGTTTGCTGCCCAGTTATTCATTCCTGTACTTGAGGATCCTGCAGGTACAGGAGGGCTTCTGAACAAGGCCAAGTGGTGCTCTTTCCTCTACAGAAAACAAACAAACAAAACAAACAAACAAAAAAACAACAACAACAAAAAAACAACAGGCTGTTAACTGATGAAGAGCAGCAAGGATAATCACTCCTCAAAGCCCTAACCATTGCTTCAAGATAAAGGTGATCTTTCTAACAAATGTGAGCGTGGTGCCAAGGTGTGGTACTCACATGTGAAACAAACTGCAGAGGTGAAGCAAAGCCTGTGCTCTGGCTTTGCCAAAGAGAGGTAGCAAATTAAGAACAGAGTGGAGCAGGGCAGGTCTCTGCACACCTCTCCATTTCCTAACAGCACCCTCTCTAAGCCAGCACCAAGACCATCACGGCGTGAATAGGCTTCTCTGAATTTCAAAGACATGACAGTCCTCTCTGAAGCATGGTGGCTGCCATGGAGGATCAGCCTCGCTCATTCCTGAAGCTGAACATTGATGCTGAGCTTACTGACTGGCTGCTGTGGAGGCTGTTTCAGAAAAATGTGATCAATCATGATCTGAGGGGAAATGCCCATTTAGTACCAATCTCCCAAAACAGTATCCAGTCCATGTCAAAGGCTGAGCAGGTCTTGGCCGATCAGCAGATAGGGTTGTGGCCGTTTTCAAGAGGGGGATCCTTTCTGCATGGATCTGGGCAGCATTAGAAAAAATGTCTATGCATAACCCCCTGTTCAGGGCTTATGGGCAGAGTTTCCTAGATCTTTTGTAGCAGAGCTGCTGAAATGATGCCTCTTGTGCCTGCTCTCTGGGCTCACTGGTGCACAGTCCCTGAGGCGAGGAGGACAGGACCAAAGGGAAGCAAGGGGGCAATGGAAATCAGTGCTTGGCTCAGAAAAGAGCTCCAGCAGAAACCTTGATCTCTGGCTGCAGATGAGAGAGCAGCATGTGCACAGGTGAGCACAGGGACAAGCAGAGGGAAAGGACACAGACATGGCTGAGCATCTACCAACAGGAATCTGTAGAGGCTGTGCTTCGTTCAGCATCAGCCTTCAGCGTAGCACCTGGCGAAGCAACAAGTCACAGACATCAGTAAGCATTTTCCAAGTCACTGGCACAAAGCAGTGCTTTTCTGCATGAAAGGTGATTGAGGAAACAGGTCTTGGCCCCAGCAACTCAGCTGTGGAAGCAGGGAGAGAGCAGAGAGCAAGGCTGGGTGGCCTCCCTGGGTTTCTGTCCAAGGTAGCTGCATTCATTCTCCCCTTGCTCATAGCAGCTGCTTTCTCTGGGTTCTGTGTAGCACCATTGGTCCTCAGTGTCCACACCAGAGCCTGTCTCCAGAGGTGCTGAGTACGAGGGCACCCATCAGCCTTCAGCTCTGCCTCACAGGTGTCCTGAGCAACATGAGGAATGGAGAAAGGGAGGAAAGGAAGGCAAGACAGGGAAAGGAATTTTATCTTTGCAGTATTCTGAATGAGAAGTTGATGAATTGCAGCTGTGAATCCTGTGAACCTGTTCCTCCAACCTGGGTGAGCCCAGCAGAGAAGGGATGTGACTGCCCAGCTGATGGCTCAACTGATCATTATTTTGGGTCTGTCAGCTTTGCAGCCAACACCCACAAGCAGCACAGCTTTGGCAATGCTCTCCACTGATGGGTATTACTCTGGTAGAACCTGAAGTTTGTGTCACACGTGTCACAGCAACTGTCCCAGGGATGAGGACACCTCTCCAGGAGGCGTGGCCAGGCCTCCATCACCTTCACAGGGCAGTAGCGCACTGTCCCCCCCCCCCCCCCCCCCGGCAGCTGGAGGCTAGTGATCAGCTCAGGAGCACAGCTATGGTCACCAAGGCATGAGCAAGAGTTTCACATCAATCTGTTTCAATGCTCTTATCCCCTTGGTGTCTGATGTGGGGATACATGTTCCTCTTCATGTCCAATTCCTGTTTGGGCCACACTCCTTCTGCTTGCAGAAAGTGTGCAAGTTTTGAGTGCAAGTGTGTCAGCTTTCTGTGGCTCTTCCCTTCAGGGAAATTTCTGCCTCTCCATCTTCGAATGAAGAAGAATATCTGTGCTTCCTGCCGGTGGTTAGGAAGCCCCCAAGCCGAGTAGTCTCCTTGTGTCTCTGCAGGGCAGCGACATGGGGGAACGAGGCTCCCTCTGCTGGGCTCTCCTGCAGAGGCAAGGCACGGAAATCGGATTGTGTGTGAGGTGTGTGTGAAGTTCACTCCTCAGAGCAATCATTCAGAGATGCTTTTACTGTGTCTTCAAAGTGGAAACCAAACATGTCATGGTTTAAAGTCAAATTTAGTTGGAGGAACAAAACACCCCTGGCAGTGCTTTTCACAGTCAAGGTCAAAACAGGGCTGTATCCATTTCTGTGAGACTTTGAACCATAATGCTATTTTATCACCAAGGTTCGGATGCTTGCAAGTTTGCATGGACATTTTTGTTCCCTTATGTTCAGTGTCCATGTAGACACTGTACTCTCCACAGTAGCCCTTTTTCTTCTTATTTACAAGGAATTAAATCCTCAAGGGCCATTGATGCAATGCCAAATCCTTGTTCCGGTGCTGCGGCACTGGGAGTGAGGAGGGCGTCAGTTCCCCTGGTTTCCCCAGGCAATGCCCAGGGCACCTCAGGGAAGCCCTGCCCTCAAGAGCTGAGACAGCCCCTTTCTCCAGAAAGCCACCACTGTCAGGCACCTTCCTGTGCCTTGTAGATGGAAGACAGTGTGCTCCAGCTAGCCCTTCCCAGGAAAATCTCTCTAGTTATGAGGGTTGCAATGTCTGTTTCTTCCCAGCTTTTTCCCCAAATAAAAGTCTTCCCAGGAGCTTTCTCAGACTTTATCTCTGAGCTGTGCCTTGAGTGCCAGAGGGTGAACAGAGGTAGAAGATGGAAAGCAGAGATATTTCTTCACGTTGCAATTGTCATTCAGGCTGTATTCATTCCACACATATTCATGTTACACTAGAAATACACACTATGATAATGAGTAATGCTCTTAACTAGGGCTATCATTAACAGCAGAGTACAACAGAAGTCTTTTCTGTTTCCAAGGAAGATCTGTTGAGGATGTGTGTGAGTCAACCTGATTTGATGCCTTCCCATTAGGGCTTGTAGTGATTATCCCATTTGGCAAACTTCTTTTCTTCATGAAGGTGGTAGCCTGCTCCTGGCTTGCTTGGTTTCACTTCAGTGTTGGGCAGTGTGGGAGGGAAAGGGCTGGCCACAGCCTTCAGAGAAACCTATCAGCATGGAGGTCCTGTCCCTACCAACTGCTTCCACCCAGAGGCAAGCAGTGGCTGGAGTAATCTCTCCTGCTGTAATGTGAGCAGTCCTGACCCTATTTGCAAGATTTTTTAATGCAAAGAGCAACATCAGAGATGCTGTCTCAGGTACCACCGACTAAGCCCCGGGAGCCAGTACCAGCCAGGATATTGGATCATCCATGCCTTTTCTGTAAGACTCATTTGCAGGAGGTGTAGGCTAGGCAGGATGCAGCCTTACGTCATCCCTGTGAGGAAAATCACAGAATGGTTTGGGTTGGAAATGACTTTAAAGACCATCTAATTCCACACCCCCTGCCATGGGCAGGGACACCTCCCACTAGACCAGGTTGTCCAAAGCCCCATCCAGAGTGGACTTGAAAACTGCTAGGCTTGGGGCATCCACAGCTTCTTTGGGCAACCTGTCCCAGTGCCTCACCACCCTCTGAGATTTTTTTTTTTTTTTTTTCCAAATATCTAATCTAAATCTAC